AAGCCAAATGGAGCTGGCCAAGCTGAGGCCTGACTTTTTTCAATAAAACATTGTGTACTTCTGGGCCTCCTGCTGCCCTGGCTCTGTTTCCCCTGGCGCCAAGGGAAGAGGCGGAACTGAACTCAGGCCCAGAGCTGGCTCCCTGAGGCTGTGCCCCTTTCCGGCAATCTCTGGCCACCCCCATTGGCCAGTCTGTCCCTCCCACTGTTCCTGGGGCCCCTCCCACCCCCACACCAGATAAGGCCGGCTGGGACTGCTTCATCTGGCCGTAGACACTAGGGCTGGAATGGGGCCGCCTGGCTCCCCATGGCAGTGGGGTCTGCTGCTGCTGGGGCTACTGCCCCCCCCTGCTGCTCCCTTCTGGCTCCTCAATGTGCTCTTCCCCCCGCACACCACGCCCAAGGCTGAGCTCAGTAACCACACACGGCCCGTCATCCTCGGTAAGCCCCCATTAGGCCCTTGACGCACCAGGCCCAGACTTTGAGCCTGGGCCCCAGCCCCGGGTAGCAGACCTGGCCAAGGCCCTTCTGCCCCTGCATTAGCCCTGATACCTGCTCTGGGTGGGGAGGTGCCAGAGGCTTGTTCTGCAGAGAGATGACGCCCTTCCTACCACACTAGTCCTGTGTTTCTTGAGTTGTCTACTGCAGGGGGTGCAGTGGGGGGACAGTCTGCCTAATGTCTTGGCCAGGGTGTCACAAGCTGTGGTCAGCTGCAGCCACACCAGATCCTGGACTAAGCCCAACCACTCCTTCCTTGGTCCCCACCCCACCGAGGGCAAGATGCTCAGCCCAGGGCAGGAGAGCAGGAGAGGCCCATCAAGGCCTGCCCCCTCCTCCTAGGCCCACCCCCATTCCCCCATACCTATTTGTTTTCACCCTGGACTTTGACAATAGTGGAGCTCCAGGCTGGATGTTTGCTGGGCAGGGGCAGGGGTCAGTGGCCTTGGCCCCTGTACTTCGCTGCCTGAGGGGAGCCTGGGCTTTGGGCTGATGCAGGGACAGTAGAAGGGCAGGTGTGATCAGAAGGAGAAGATAAGTATCCTTTGTCCTTGGGGGTTGAAGGTATGGGAGATGGAGGGGGGGCTGGTCACTGCAGTGTGTAGAGGTGAGACTGGGTTAGTGGTCACGGGGGAAGTCCAAGGAGTCCAGAGTGAGTGCTGGTGCCTGCAGTGCCTGGTTGCCTGGGGAATCAGCTGGAAGCCAAGCTGGATAAACCGGATGTAGTGAACTGGATGTGCTACCGCAAGACAGAGGACTTCTTCACCATCTGGCTGGATCTCAATATGTTTCTACCCTTTGGGGTGGACTGTTGGATCGATAACACCAGGTAAGTGCCATGTCCCCTGCCCATGCCCCCCACACACTGCCCCTTGGTTACTGGCTGCTAAACGTCCCACTGCCCCCAGGGTTGTCTACAACCGCAGCTCTGGGCGTGTATCTAACGCCCCTGGTGTACAGATCCGTGTCCCTGGCTTTGGAAAGACCTACTCTGTTGAGTACTTGGACAGCCACAAGCTGGCAGGTGTGTGTCCTGGGGGAAAGGGCAGGGGCTCCAGGCTATGGTGGGACATGGCCAGAGCTCCCAACGCTGCCTCCTCCCTCACAGGTTACATGCACACGCTGGTGCAGAATCTGGTCAACAATGGGTATGTGCGGGATGAGACAGTGCGGGCTGCCCCCTATGACTGGCGGCTGGAGCCCAGTGAGTGTCTCTTCAGATGATGGGCTTGGGGCGGGGCATGTGGCCCCTGACCCCAACTGCCCTGATCCCAGGCATCCACCTGCAGGCCAGCAGGAGGAGTACTACCAGAAGCTCGCTGGGCTGGTGGAGGAGATGCACGCTACTTACAGGAAGCCTGTTTTCCTCATCGGGCACAGCCTTGGCTGCCTGCACTTGCTCTATTTCTTGCTGCGCCAGCCCCAGTCCTGGAAGGACCACTTCATTGATGGCTTCATCTCTCTTGGGGCTCCCTGGGGTGGCTCCATCAAGCCCATGCTGGTCTTGGCCTCAGGTGAGAGGGCCCCCTGTTGTGGGGTTGGGTTGTGGAATGAAGCTGACCATGGGTCTGCCCTCACTCCAGCTTCTCACGGTATCCACTGGGATGTTGTCTACCACCTGTGGAGTATGCCCACTGTCATTGGGCCCCTAAGGCAATGACCCTTGCCTAGACCGTTAGGGTGGCTCCTTCCAGAGTCTGCGTTAGTGATGACTAAGAAGTAAACACAGGAAGTGAATGCCAGCAATCTGATTCAACCTGAGGGTTGTTCCTGTAGCCCCACGTCCTGCCCTCCTGCTTTCAGCTACCTCCCACTCCCAGGAGCCCCTTTGCCCAGGGATCTGCCTTACTGAGGACGAATCTGACAAATCCAGGGTCAGACCCTAGGAGGCCCTCTTGCCCTTCCCTGAGGAGTGACACCAGGGACCCAGCTCTGACACAGCTACCATCTATTGATCATCTACTATATGCTGGGCATAGCCAGACTCAGCCTTCTCCCTAGGAGTCTACCAGTCTGGTGAGGAAAACACTCATCAGACTATACTAATGAATGTCAAACATAGGCACCATCTCATTTCATCCCTCCCAGAGTACAACTCTGACCCCTCTGCAGCACAGGTCACACATAGATGCCCAAGGTGGAACAGCCAGCACCACGGCCTCCCATTCACACACAAACCCCCATCCTCAGGAAGCCCCTCCCTGCCTGCCTTTTGAGGCCCTAAAGCTCTGTGCTGTGGAGGTGCTATCAGGACTTCTCACTTAATAAGCCCACAGTAGGCACCTGCTGAACACCAGGCCTGCTCTAGTCTCTGGCTTGGAGTCTGTATCTGGATTTGGCAGAGACAAGATTAAGCATCCAGTTGCACTTACACTGGGGCAAAGCTGTGGGTCAGGGATAGCCAGGCCTGGCTCCCGGTCCCACCTTGCTCCATATCCACAGGGGACAACCAGGGCATCCCGATCATGTCCAGCATCAAGCTGAGAGAGGAACAGCGCATAACAACAGCTTCCCCCTGGATGTTTCCTTCTTCACAGGCGTGGCCTGAGGACCACGTGTTCATTTCCACTCCCACCTTCAACTACACAGGCCGTGACTTCCAACGCTTCTTTGCCGACCTGCACTTTGAGGAAGGCTGGTACATGTGGCTACAGTCACGTGACCTGCTGGCAGGCCTCCCAGCACCTGGTGTGGAAGTGTACTGTCTGTATGGCGTGGGCCTTCCCACACCCCACACCTACATCTATGACCATGGCTTCCCTTACACAGACCCTGTGGATGTGCTTTATGAGGACGGTGATAACACAGTGGCCACACGCAGCACTGAGCTCTGTGGCCGCTGGCAGGGCCGCCAGCCACAGCCTGTGCACCTGCTGCCCTTACATGGGACACAGCACCTCAACATGGTTTTCAGCAACCAGACACTCGAGCACATCAATGCCATCCTGCTAGGTGCCTACCGCCATGGTACCCCTGCATCCGCAGCTGTCAGCCCAGGGCCCTTGCCCCCTGAATAAAGACCTGCCTTCGCTACTGTAACCCCTGACATGTGTGTTGTAGGTTGAGAGGGAGGCACTAGAGTCCCCACACCAGGTTTCACTCATCACCAACCACAGGCCCAGTGCTCTGTGGAGCATGAGGCAGAATGAGGGATTGAACTGGCACCCTGACAGGTGTGGCTTCCCTCTCCTGGTTGAGCTATTTAGATAGCCTGCCCCATGCCTGCCTCTGTGCTGGGCATGGTGACTAAAGCCAGCTGCAGCCGCAGCTGTGGGATGGGGGCACAGGGAGAGGAGGATCTGAGCTATTCCTCTCAGCTCACAAAAGGGCAGGTGAGATGGGGCCTTTTGAGTGCTGGATGGGTGACAGAAACACCAGACTTTAGAATCTGGGAGTGGCAGTCATTAATCAGATATTTCACTAATGAAGGTATAATTATTAAAGAAGCCACGCTACATGCTCTGAGAGAAAAGTTTAGGGAGGAGCAAAATCCTGAGCCTTGTGGGTCAGAGAAGGCTTCCCAGAGGAGGTGGTGCCTACACTGAGGTCAGAGGGATGAGAAGGGTAATGGCCAGTTAAAGATGGGTTTGAGGGTTTCCAACTAACCGATCACAACCAGTTACAGATTTCTTTGTTCCTTCTTCACTCCCACTGCTTCATTTGACAAGCCTTAAAAAAAAAAAAAAGAAAGAAAGGTTTGAACCTAAGAGCAGTGTGCAGCTGCTGAAGGGAAAGAGTGTAATTGGATTTCCAATCTAGAAAGACCCCCTCTCTGCAGGGTAGAATGTAGCCTGTGGAGGGCAGAGGGTGAAGGAAGTATGGGGTAGTCAGAGAGGCCAGTGCAATATCCAGGTGAAAGAGGATGCCAGCTACAACTAGAAGTAGTTAGGAGATAGATGTGTACAGATAAGAGATTATTTGGGAGGTGAAATAAGCCTTGGCCATGGGTAGAGCTCAGCATCCCTCCAGGCCACTAGATGGACAGCCACGGTGACCCTCTTCAGAGAAGGAAGATGACACCTGAGACAGGGAAGATGGAAGAACCAGTATCAGTGTGGCTGAGGACTAAGCCTCAGTGTTGGAGGTTTTGGGGAGGGGGAAAAAGCAACAAAAGGGGCAAGAGGTGGGAGAAGGGTGACAAAGGACAAAAGTCAGCCATGCCCGATGCTGTTGGGAGACCAGTAAGCATGCAGAGACCTAGCCAATGGTCTGACTGACAGCTTTAGGGCATTGGGACTCGAGGCCAGAGTTGGAGTTTGGGTACGAGGGCTGGGGGCTCAGACTGGAAGGGGGAGGAAGAGCTGAGCAAGGGCCACAAGGAAGGCATCTTCCCTCTGTCTACTCAGACAGCAGACTCAGGGAGCAGCAAGGAGGGCCTGGTGAGAACGTCACCCCTTTCCCAAACTGCTTAGGAGCAGAGGTTAAGGTGAAAGTGAAAGAGAAAATGTAGAAAGCAGCCATCAGCCTCTGAGGAAGGGTGAAAGCGAAAGCGGGAAACGACAGGAAACAGACGTGGAGACCAACAAAGGCCGAGGCTGAGGCCTTTCTCGCTCCCCGCTGGCCCCACTCGTCTGACCGACCCATCGACCCCTGACCCCTAATCCGCCCTGACTGTCCCGAGATGCTGAAGCCAGCGCTGGAGCCCCGTGGAGGCTTCTCCTTCGAGAACTGCCAGAGGTGAAGTGGGGAGAGTTAGTCTCAAGCGGCCTATGCCCCACTGTGGGCCTTTTTTCTTGGCTGGGGCATAGGGGTGGAGGAGCGTGTGTTGGGAGACTTAGGTTCCAGGCTTACCCCGGGAGATGAGGGACCCCGGGACGGGGCTGGGCCATGCGACAGGGCTCTGGAAGCAGAACTGAAACCGGACCCCCCCCAACCCCCTCATTTTTCAGAAACGCATCCTTGGAACGCGTCCTCCCGGGGCTTCGAGTCCCTCATGCACGCAAGACCGGGACCACCATCGCGGGCCTTGTATTCCGAGTGAGCAGGAGTGAGGGACTGGGGGGGCCACAGGGATGGCGGGGAGAATGGGGCGGGCACTAAGGCAGCGACCCCTCCCCCTTCCCAGGACGGGGTCATCCTGGGCGCGGATACGCGGGCCACTAACGATTCGGTTGTGGCGGACAAGAGCTGCGAGAAGATCCACTTCATCGCCCCCAAAATCTAGTAAGAATCGGTTCCCGCACGCAAGAACCGCCCTTCGTTGCCACCCCGGTCCCCGCGCATCCTAGCCCTGCCCACACCGACCCTCCCTTCGCCCTCAGCTGCTGTGGGGCTGGAGTAGCCGCGGACGCCGAGATGACCACGCGGATGGTGGCGTCTAACATGGAGCTACACACGCTGTCCACGGGCCGCGAGCCCCGCGTGGCCACTGTCACGCGCATCCTGCGCCAAACGCTGTTCCGGTGCGGGGTCAGGGCTAAGACGTCCCTGGGAGGGGTCATTGTCGGGAGGGCGGAGCTGATAGGAGGTGGGACGTGGAAAGGGGCGAGGCTGCGGCGTGCCGGGAGACCGGAAGAGACCGGCCTAAGAGAAGGCGGGCGACAGGAAGGGGATGGAGTGCTCGGTCACAGGAAGGGGCGGGGCGGGCCCAGGGGCGTCGCCGTAGGGGCGGGGCTTGTGTCTCATTTGAGGCTCACCACGCCCCCCGCGAACAGGTACCGGGGCCACGTGGGGGCGTCGCTGATCGTGGGGGGCGTAGACGTGACCGGGCCGCAGCTCTACGGCGTGCACCCCCACGGCTCCTACAGCCGTCTGCCCTTCACGGCTCTGGGTGAGCGCTTCCGCCCCTTCCCCACGAACCCCATCCCTGTGACTCTGGTCTCACATTTGTTCCTCGGACGGGGCGTCATGCAGCTGACCTCAGAAGCCCCCCTCTTGCCTGCAGGTTCCGGCCAGGACGCAGCCCTGGCGGTGCTGGAGGACCGGTTCCAGCCGAACATGATGGTGAGAGACCTTTCCCCCCCACTACGTGGTCATTGGTGGTAACTGTAGCCGAGAGCTGGGGGAGCGAAGAGGGACCCTGGCCCAGTATGGAGGTCGGGCTTCTCGGGGGAGGTTACGACTGAGTAGAGACTGAGGGGTGAGTGGAGTGAGGGTGAAGTGCGGTCCCGACAGACCACCCTCTAGCGTACCAAAGCGTGGACGACTGAGAGAAGTAGAAGCTCATGGAGGGTCGTTTGGAGCCCGAGGGTGGAGGGAAAGGCCGGTGGGGTTCTATATAGAGTTCTGGAGTCTGGGTTTTGTTTGGGGTGGGGTGGAAGAGGGTGACGGCGGCTAAGGCTCAGAGAGAAACGCAGTGAGCCGGTGGATTGCGGGCCAGGAGCAGATTGTTTGGGTGGGCAGGCCGTTGGAAGAGGGGCCACGAGTGTAAGTGGCTCTGAGAAGTTTGTGAAGAGAAGGGCAGTGGGCGGAGGGAACACTGGGCATGGGAGAGAGGGAGGCAGAGACCAGGGGAGGGGAGTTTGGGATGGAGGGGGAGAGAGGAGGTTGGGTGTGAGCAAATGGTAAATAGCCTGGGCTTCCAGATTAACAAAATCCCCAACCAGAGGGTCTATTAGGCCTCACACACACACCACCACCACAGCTGGAGGCTGCGCAGGAGCTGCTGGTAGAAGCGATCACCGCAGGGATCCTGGGTGACCTGGGCTCTGGGGGCAATGTGGATGCATGTGTGATCACCAGGACTGGCGCCAAGCTGCTGCGGACACTAAGTTCACCCACAGAGCCTGTGGAGAGGTAGGAGCAGGGGAAACGTGGGGAGGGGGGGTTGCTGCAAGAAGAGGATGGGCCACACGATGGACCCATGTTGAGAGGTTGTCCCTCCTCCCACCTAGGCCCGGCCACTACCGCTTTGTGCCTGGAACCACAGCTGTTCTGACCCAGGCAGTGAAACCACTGAATCTGGAGCTACTGGAGGAAACTGTGCAGGCCATGGAAGTGGAGTGAAGTGGGCTGAGGCTTAGAGATAGGAACAAGGGGGAATAAATCCTGAAAATAAAAACCCCTAAACAGATGGCTGTGTCATTTTTGAGAGCGAGGCAGGCAGCCAGCAGGGCTCTGTGGCTAAGGTATCCCTGCAGGGGCCACTGACTCCTACAGCTCCAGTGTCTGGCCTAAGAGGTGCCCTCAGCCATCACCTCAGGCGTCAATCTCCCCCTACATAGCCCTAGCCAGCATTGCAGGCTTAAGGTGGAAAGCCCCCAGGGTGTCTCCCACTTCCTCTGACTCCACACTACAGTGGCTCTCCCCACCCCCACTTGCCTGTCTTGCTTTTGCCCTCTAGTCCTCTGGGGACTGTTGTAAAAACCAAGAGATCCCAAGTTCTACCCCTAGAGCCTTTCTCTGGCTCATCAGTGGCCCAGAACAAGCCCACACCTCTCAGTCAAGCCCCTCATGGGCCCCACTGAGGGCCAAAGTGCTGATAGGGGAGCTGCTTCCTAAATCCAAGGACAAGTTCTCACAGTTCTCACATCTGACACCCATCAGATGACCAGGCACACCTGAGCTGCTTACACACAACTGAGCTTCTGTCTGCACATGCTGGGCTATGAGTAGGGAGACTGACTCCAAGTTTTCTGGGCTGATAGGAGTTACAGGACTCATGGGGAGGGATGACATATTTAGCCAACAAACCTTTGTTGAGCACTCACTGAGTGCCATGCCCAGGTGCTGGGTGCTGGTAAGAGCATCCTCCCCTCAGAGAGAATGGCTGAGCTCCGCTGGAGCTTCAGAACTGTTAGGGAGAGTCTGCCCAGCTTCTAAGGAGGAGATATCCTTCTGGGCTTGATATCCCAGGGCCCCTGATTGTGCTTTCCCCCCAACATTTTATTATGAAAGATTTTAAATTATAATAGAAAAGTGGAAAGAATTGTACATTGAATACCTATCTATCCACCACAGACTTTACAATTAGTGTTTTGTTATATTTGCTTTACCATATATCTATCCATCCATACATCAATTCATCTCATTTTTTTGACTGATGTGTTCTTGAATCATTCAAAGCCCTCACACCTCTGGAAGGAAGCCAGCCAACCCACCCGTTGCAACTTTGCACATAGGGTATCTTCTCTCCCTTGGTTCAAGCTCATCAGGGAGCTCAATGATGAATGGGCTGTAGACACCAGGGGCTTGCCCATGGGAGCCCCAAGGCCTGGAGGCTGTCAGATTTGACGTCCATCACCCCTCCACCCACAGCCTCAGTCCAGGGTCTGCCAGTCACTGAGGGTTCACACTTTTTTTTTTTTTTTCCTTTTTTTGTCTTTGTTTTTTACTGACCGGCAACGGGATTGCAACCCTCGGTGTTGCGCCCACACCGCGCTCAGCCAGTGAGCGGGAACCAGTCTCCACATGGGATCCGAACCCTCGGCAGGAGTGCCACCGCGCTCCCAAGCGGCGCACTCTCCAGTGTGCCACCGGGTCGGCCCGAGGGTTCACACTTTACCCTTCTTGTGCCAGGCCCTTCACAAGCATCATCTCATCACTCAGAGTGTGGGCTTCAGAGCCAGACAGATGAGGGTTTGTGTGCAAGCCCACCACATGCTGGTGGGAGAGTCACCATCTCTCTGAGCAAACCTGAGACTCCTGTACCAAACCAATGAAATCACAGAGATGATGTCTGTTAACTGGCCACATGGCCATGGCCCTCCACAGCAGAGCTGGCCTGAGCTGGCCATTCCCTATGCCAGTCAGCACACCACTGGATGCTGAGAGACTGAGAGTCTGGTGCCCCTGATAGCACTGGGAGACTTCCCTGATCCCAGCCACTAAGTTGTCTCTAGAGACCTAATTTAACCATATGTCCTTGGTACCCAGTGCTCAACACTTGGGATGTGAGGTGGTTCAGGGAGCCAATCAGAAGCCAGGCTTTGGGGGGAGGTGGAGGAGGTGAGAGCCTCACACCTGGGTTCTGCCTGTTAAGTCCAGGCCCGGGTCAGGAGACATAGGCCTAAAGAGACTCTCCTCCTGACTGGACTGTGGGAGGAGGCTGAGCCTATACACCTGGCCTGGCCTCAGGCCTGGGACTTTGGCTCAAGAATGAGAAAACCCATAAAACCCAGCTGTTAACCTCATACCTGCCACAATGCTGCTGCTCAACCTCACCCTTAGCCTGGTCCTCCTCAGCTCCTCCTGGGGTGAGTGGGCCAGGGCCATTCCTGACTGAACAGCCGTGGGACAACCCAGCTTCCAGCATCAGTTCAGGGGCCCTGGGAAGGTGCCAGGCTGGCTAGAAGAGAAGCAGGTGGACAGAGTGGTCAAAGGAAAAAGGATGTGCCAGGCCAGGGGAGCAGGAACAGGCCTGCAGGGCCGGGAGAGGGCAAGAGGTGCTGGAGGCGTCTCACAACCAGGACAGGAGCTTGAGCCAGGTCTTGGAGCACGGGAGGGTTTAGGAAGCTGAGAAGTAAAGGTTGGACATGTAGTTTAGGAAGACCTTTCCAGCAACATGAAGCCTGGAGGGGGAGAGAGGCCAGGGAGGAGACTGTCTCAGAGGTCAGGGAGAAAAGTGTCCTGGGCTAGAGGACAGGGGTGGAGCTGGGGAATGGCGGGGACCAGGTTGGAGAGAGAGGAGGGAGAACAGACAGGACTTGAGGGTCGGTTGGATGGGCATAACCAAGATAGCTGTGGAGGCCCAGAAAGTGCTCAGGGGAAGAAAGGATAGTGACAAGCCCCCTGGATTTGCAGCCCTCGGGTGCATAGCCAGGAGTACCCAGGGGACGGAGGTGGGGGAAGGTGGGCG